CTACAAAGTCAATAGATTTTAAATAGAAGATGAACAAAAAGTTTCTGAAAATAAGCAATTTAAAAGACCTTAAATCATAAATTTAAAAAAAAAAAAAAAGCTATTTTTTAAAACTGTTATTGGTATAAAATAAGATTTTAAATCAATATAGTGATAATAAAACACTAAATATTCAGTGAGTATGTGTAGAAGAAATTTACATGTATTATTTATTGGTGTTTCAGTTAAAAGATAGTAACTGTTGAAGATAAGAAATAAAAGAACACTTGAACAGTGCAGTAAAAAGAATTGATCTGAAGTTCTTTTGTTGCTGACTCTAAAACAACTGGAATCTGATTTAAGCTTCTGTATTTGCGCATTAATATAAATTCAGATAGAATACTGTTGATAATATCATCTTGTTGCAGGAATCTGGGTGAAAGAAACTTTTAGCTGAATCAATACTACTTAATTTAGCAAAAAAAAAAAAAGAAAAAAAAAAACAAGGGAATCGAAGAATAAATTTCTTTTTCAAGAAAAACTTGTGTTTAGCGAGGAAAAAGTGCATATAAAGTAAAATTTTAGTGTCACTTATTTTGTCGTTTGCATTTATGACGTTTATGAAGTACTCTGCTTTATCAATGTCATAATTTGAAGCCACAGCCTTTTCCTTTTTTTTCAGAAAACTATTTCATGTATAAGAAGTTTTTAGGTTTCAAAGAACTGACAGATACATACAAAAATACAGAAATTTTTTTCCCATAAAAGTTATGTTAGCAACGTAGCAAAAAAAAATTTCTGTTTTTAATTTGACTTTAGTGTAAAAGCACCAACAAATATTAATCATCGGTAGTATTTAAACGTTTAAAATTGCTGTAATTTGTACAGATAACACAAGACAAAAGAAAATGCCATTGTAAATGTACAGATTATTGAATTGATAATAGTTGTTTGACAACTATCATAGTGGGTTAAATGTAATCAACTAAAACATGGTTGAATTATATTCCTCTTACTCAAATGTTCTTTTTTTTTTTTTTAAAATTTGTTGACTATTTTGTTGACAGTTTATTACCTTAACAATTGTTGCAGCAAATGACGTATGTTGCAAACAGTTTTACTATCCATAAAACAATACAAATTCCTGGTCAAAAATTTTATTTCTTATGAACAAAAATCACGCATGCAAAAAACAATAACCAATACGCTGTTTCTCTTGTGTAAAACAGTTCAATTTAGATGATGTTTTGATGTTAAATGTTTAAAAAAATTTGCTGTTCACTATCAATTCTAAAAGTTTTTTAATATTAAAACCAAAAGGTAATCTAACTTTATTAAAACTCTAAAATGGCACTGAACTACTTTAAGGTGACAACTTTCTAAAATTACTATTCTTCTTCTGATGCTTAGAAGAAGTTTTTAAAACGTTCAAAAAATTATCTACTTGCGGTTCCTGATTGTCATTTAAATAGCAACTTACATTTTCGATAGCAACCAATTCTAACTTTTTTTTTTGACGGATATACCGGAAGCTCTAAGAAACTACTATAATGACTATCTTACACTGGACCAGCAACTTTTAGCTGCTATGCAGTCAACAAGGTTAACTATTTTTCTTAGCACCTAAACTGTAGCGACAAGATGAGGGTTTGCCGATCCAATTCAGACAAACCAAAATATCTTGCAAGTTTCTCCTCTTTGTTATAAACGAACTTCGTCTTCAGAATTGCTTCAGAAAAATCAAGTCATTGTCAGAAACGTTTATTTCACAAATATAACAAAAAATTTGGGAACTTTTGATCGAAATGAACAAGAACAAAAAATATTTTGCAAGTGCTGTGCTGATCTAAATAATACACAGCTTAGTCTAGCAAAGATTACCAAAGTAAACTGACGAGTGTTTTCACTAGCAATAAAATAATTTTTTTTAGAATACAGAACCTTTTAGAGCTTATGACTTTAAGACGAGCACATATATGAAAACGTATGTTTTTATAGACATATGCGATGTTTGGTACTTTGTTACAATAACTTTTTAGCGCAAAGTTAAACTGCATTCAATGCCGAATCAAGTTTAGAAAAACCATACTTTTTAGCTATTGACCAGAAATCTGATGCCGGCAAACACCTTGAATCCGCATGATTACAGAGTTGGAGTTATTGGTTTAATCAAAGTTGATGATCTAAGAGTAAACGTAAGTTTCATTTTGCAGCTTCTTGATTTCTAACTCACCAAAAAACTGCTTCTGCGATACACAACCGTAAGCAACAGATCGTCCGTTCAAATTAACACATAAGAATGGTACTGAACTGTACAAGCAGCTGCCTTTTTAAAGTCGGTTAGGCTAAAATCGGCAGTTCTAACCCTGAATGCTCAAAAAAAAAGTTTGAAAAAGCTATAAGGTAAATTTTGATCATGCTTACTTCTAAAGAAAGTAAAGTAAAAAACTGCTGTTTAAGCTGCACTATTTTCCCCGGTCATCTGCTTCTTTGCAATTTCTAAATAGGAAACAGCAACAAATCGAACGTGTCGCTGAGTAAACTATTTATCATTGGGTGTTGATTAATAATCCTCTATTAGAAAAATGGAAGACTAAAAACTAAAATATACTCAAGAACTGTGCCTTTTTCCTGCGCTTTTTTTTTAGTAAAAGCAAGAAGTTCTTTTAACTAGACAATCAAAAAAAAAGTGTAGTTTCTATTCTTCTTTTTAATCTGTTACCTACTTGCTCATAGACGCTGTAGAAAGGTTTCCAGAAAAGACCACACTGTGGCCGCCGTTAAATGAACTCAAACACAGCCAATTCTTCGGTAGTTTATCAAAATTTTTCACAAGAAATTATCAGCCAATATCTGAGCCAAATTTACAACTCGTCAATAGTTGCTAGATGTATCTGCATTAACAGTTTGATGCAGGATTAATTGACGTCTCTTGTTCTCCTGCACTTGATCGAGAAAATCTTTCGCCTTTTACTAAAGATTTCCGTGCAGAAGGACAGTTTATGAGCCTACTTTAATTTTTGGAACCTCGTCTTTTGACGAGGGGTAATCAAGCTGGGAGTTTGTGGTAGTTTCGTACCATTCAAATCAAGCGGGAGTTAAAGCACAACTTTGATTTGGTCAAAATTACAAGCTCATATTTAAAATTGCACCTAAAGAAAATGTTTCTCACTAACACTTAGTTGTGGCTAATGCAGCAGCGTTAAAGTTTTTTTTAAACGTCAATAGGAATATAAAAATTTTTGGCTTGTTGTCGCTAAATGAAGAATTGGTAAAAAGTATAGAACAGCAGTAAAGTGAAGATTTAATTACTCGACAGATGATAAAGAGTAGTTAACTATAAAAGATCAGGAAATTCTGCTAGAATAATTAAATATGCACGTCAAAATTTTTATCCTATTTTATCACTTACTTTCTATTGTGCTTAACAGCTTATTCTAGAATCAAATAATGTTGGTAGTTCTATCGCGCATTAAAAAAGCATTATGAATATATGCAATATTTATTGTTAAGTATAATTTTTTAGTTCAGACTTGTTGTTCAGAACTGAGTACGTGACGGTCTTTTATTGATTACTTAAATCTCCTTCGTTAAAACCAAATTTACGCAGTCTGATGATTCTTCAATGTTGTGGTATTTTCTGATATATTTTATCAAATTACAGAATATCGCTTACTATTGACCAAAGATATGTCTGTACAAAAAAATAAACTTTTGGATTTTAATGATCTTTGGTAACTGTTTTATGGCCGTTTAGAATGAAGCCATAAGTGTATACGAAGAACGAATACCAAAGTGGGCAACTGATAGTGAACTTACAGTTTACATTCTCAAAAACATTCTACGACTTGGCTCTTCTGAGTTACTAATAAGAAAAAATTAATGCTATATCTTATTATTTGCATAAGATTTTAACTTAGTCGGTGATGTGAGAATGCGGAAAATCGTATTTACATAACAAAATTCGTCTTTATTTTATTGTTTTTTTTTT